ATATATATATATATGTTGGAAATAGGGCTGCAACAATACAGAAAATTCACAATTCAGTTCGGTTCGATACTTTAGTCTCACGGTTCAATATTTTTTCGACACAAAAAAAAAAAGAAATTTCCATGCTCCTTTTAACTTGTAATTTATTTAAATTAATTATGAACATTTGTTTAACCTCAAAAGTACAGTTTTTTAAATTAAATGTTGCTGAAACAGCAAGTTTCTCAGTGGATCTGCGCTCAAAAATGCAGCCTAGACTAAACCTTTAACACAGAGCATCTTCAGAAGACAAGTTGATAAAATAAATTTAAATATCTGTATTGTTCCATACAAGTGTGTGTTGAACCTAAAGTACTGTTCGATACGGTTCAATACGAGTACATGTATTGTTGCACCCCTAGTATTTATTAATATAGCTGGGATTTTGACAAAATTAGTCACCTTATGGTGTCTTATTTTGAAAATACGGATGTTGTGCTTGTTCCTTTTCCTGTTGGTGCCATGTGATCTCTGTGGATTGACTCCGGCGCAGCTCCGGAGCCCGGCAACAACAGGATCGGATCTAATTTTGGCGGATCGCTGTCCGCTCACCGCTGCCCTACGCCACCATGCGGAGCCGGTGTAAATACTCTCATTGGGTAGAATATGTGTGTGTTTGACCGCAGCACAGCAGAGTGGAGACGTATGTAGTGTAAATTACAGGTGAGCTGCAGCTGTTGGAGACAACTTGATGATCTAAAATTGAGATAAAAAAAGACTAAATACCCAATGCAGCCGCACTGAATTCTGGGTGTTTGTTACCAATCGATAGAGGTGTCAGGTAACACAGTTCAAATACTTTCTTACTTTACTCAAGTATAAATTTTAATAGTAGAGTAAACTTTTTTTAAATATGTCTAGGACCTGTGTGGTATTTAAACCTGAAGATGTTTCCTGTCAGAGGACTGCTCCTGTGCAGGTGTGGAAATCCAGCTGCAACACTCTTAAGCAGGATTCCTACAGTTTAAAGCAAGTTAAATTTAAGACTTCTTAATGCCAACTGAAATTAAATTTGAAACCAATTTCATATTAAACACAAATGACAAAAAAATAAAACTATGGCAGAAATTCATGAATCAAAGTATTTTTGGTTTAAGTATTCAAATATTGCTAATAGATCAATTGTTTTTATCCATATCTAACTAGCAGAAACATTCTTAGCGGTAAAACGACCCAGAATTTGAAGTTTCAGGACCCACAGTGGGGTCCTAAGCTCAGTTTGCTGCAGATTAAACCTTTAGTGAATGTGACACCAAAAGTTGTAAGAAAAGTTAATGCATTTTTGAAAAGACAACATTATTAACATATTACAAAACAAATTTCACACTCCTCAGATGGACAGTTGTTGAGAGTATTTAATGATCTCCTAACAGTTGACTCAGGGGATGTTGCAGCCCTACTGGTGTTAGATCTGAGTGCAGCATTCGATACTACAGACCCTGACATCCTCCTGTTTCCACTGCAACACAGTGCTGGTGTTAAGGGCACAGTTTTAGATTGGTTCTCGTCATATTTGAAAGACAGAAGTTTCTCAGTTCACATTGATCATTGTTCTTCAGTGGCTGCGCCCCTAAATTACGGAGTCCCTCAGGGTTCAATCTTAGGCCCTATTTTGTTTATATTGTACTTGCTGCCTCTTGGACACATTTTTAAGAAATATAATGTTTCTTTTCACTATTTTGCAGACGATGTCCAAATATACATGCCCATAAAGAAAATACATGATAAATATGATTCCCTACAGTCTCTAACAGATTAACTGAAGTTAGTTCATGGATGAACCAAATTTTTCTGCACCTGAATCAAAATAAAACTCAAGTCATACTTTTTGGGCAAAAGAACCTTATTACCAAACCTGACCAAATTCTTGGTTCTCCAGCCCCTTTTTATCAGACTTCTGTTACGAATCTTGGTGTCATTTTTGACAGTTGTTTGAAATTGGATAAGCAGGTGAGCGCTGTTGTGAAATCAAGCTTTTTTCATTTGCACCTTCTAGCAAAGGTAAAATCAAGTTTTTGTTTCAAAGATTTTGAGAAACTTATTCATGCATTTATTACTATACGCTCAGATTTCTGTAACTCTTTATACAAAATCTTGGACCAATCTTCTTTACAACGTCTCCAAATGGTTCAGAATGCTGCAGCTCGACTCCTAACTGGAACCAATAAACATGACCAAATAACTCCAGTACTGGCTTCTCTGCACTGGCTGCCAGTTTCTTATCGCATTGATTTCTTAATTCTTTTATTGGTTTTTAAAGCTATAAATGGCTTGGCCCCAGCCTATCTTAAGGATCTTCTACATGACTATTCCTCTTCTAGATGACTTTGGTTGAACAATAAACTGCTTCTACACGTTCCCAGAGCCAGACTGAAACGCAGAGGAGACCGGGCGTTTGCTGTCACTGCTCCTAATTTGTGGGACAACCTACCATTCAATATTAGACCTGCCCATAATCTGGAACACTTCAAATCTCTTCTGAAAACTCAGTTTTACTCTCTGGCATTTCAATAAGGATTTACATTGTATTCTACGTGTCTTGTCTATTTAATTTATTGTTTTTACTTCAGTGTGTTTTTATCAGTTGTTTTATGATTACTGTACAGCACTTTGGTGCAGTTGGTTGCTGTTTTTTTAAAGTGCTCTAGAAATAAACGACATTGAGATATTTGCATCTAAGTAACAGGAAGTGATGTCAAAGGGGAATGTAAATATAAAAAAATGTTACCAATTATTGTAATATTTGAGATGAATTACAATCATCCTATTCACAATGTGTTGCATTTTTAAGACCTCTGAAAGATTGATTTAAGACATTTTAAGGCTAATTAAGGCCTTATTTTTGGATTGATGAATTCAATGCCTTTGAAGACTTTTTAAGGATCTGCAGGAGCTCTGTTAAGACATGTTGGAGACCAAAGCAATAATTCTGTAACTAGTTTTTTTTTTTTTCATGTAGTGTTTTTTTAGGTTGTATTAACAGTATGTGGTTATTTGTTTATTCTTTAATATGACCTAATATGTCAACTTTAACATTTAAAGAGGGAGTACATCTATAAAAAAATAAAAAATAAAAACCTTTGGACTTCTGGAGATGTGTATCCTTCATTTTTAAACCCTAACACGTGGTTTTAGGCTACAGCAGACGTTTTGCAAGATGATTAAAAGAACAGCCAATATTTTAAAGCAGCAGCAGAGAGGACAAACACACCTTCACCGACAGAGAGTGGGAGGAGCCATGTGGGGAAAGGAGGCAGGAGAAGGCGGGGTTTACTGCTGTAGACTGAATGGGTTGGTGAAAGGGGGAGGTAGGGGACGACTCCACCTTTGGCATCCCATACATCAGATTTAACTGGTTCACTGTTACATACTCCTGCCCAGTATGAGACGAGCAGAGAGAGAGAGAGACATGTCAGCAAGATGAAACATCAAGAACAAAGGCATGAAGGAAAGAAAAGATTTAAATGAAGAACGGGCTGGATTAAACACACAATACACACCACCATAATCCAGCATCTTAATCTCCACACTGACATGCTCCTTCTTGTTCCGTTACATATTCATCTGCTCAATGCTTCAGCTTTATTGGGAACAGCAACTTGAACTACAACATATCTGGCACATTTTGATCACATTCTAGCTCCATAACAACAACGACACCAGTTTCTGATTGGCTCAGTCAAATCATGCTTTTACCAATCCAACACTTAAAAATGTCAACCACCACTCAGGCCCGTGCAGCACAGTCAGTGTGGTTAGCAGCAAACCAGCAGAGGGGGTAACATCACATGAAAACAGAGATGAAACGAGGAACTGAATATAAACCAGGAGTTCAGACTGAACAACTCGATGAAAAAGAGAAGTGAGAGTACCTGGCAGGAGCCAGCTAGTGCAGCGTCTACAGCAAAGCTAGGCTTGCTGCTTTCATGTAGGTCCCCGCTGCCGTACATTTTATGGATGTCTGACAGCTTCATGTACTCCTGAGCAGCAGCCAAGGGGAACCAAAAGCCAGACCAGATGAGAGGAGGTGAGGAAAACACTCTAATTCATATGTACAACATACAGTATGTACATACACCTGAGAACATCTTCTCTGGCTGGGATTAATCCACAAAACTCACAGTCAGAGCAGACAAACAAGAAGACACTCAGCAGCATCACAAAGAGCCGACAAATTGTCTCACAAAGCAGCATCTGTGGGGTTTAGCAACAACCAGTGATGGAGTGACGAAAACAGCTGCTAAAATCGTGATTTCAAGCTGATTTAAACATCAACTTCTGACAAACAAATCAGCCAAAATCATCATGTACCAGTACAAGACAGGTGTATTTACAGGTACAGTGAGACGAGGGGCCTGATCTATGAAGCAGGATCAGGGTCTCAGTAAAGGAAACCTCAGCTCTGAGTGAAGATGTGTTCATTGTGCATGCTACAGCTTGGCTCAGGATGGATTCTGTTCAAATTACCAAACATATGCAGGAATACGACAGAGTGTTAGGGCCACACAAGGAGATTTTTATTTTTTTAAATTACAAGAATAAAGTCATAATATTACGAGTTTAAAGTTGTATAAAAATAAAGTCATATTATCAGAATAAAGTAATAATATTATAAGTTTAAAGTCGTAATATTGCAAGTTTAAAGTAAAAATATTACAAGTTTAAAGTCGTATGAAAATAAAGTCATAATATTATGAGAATAAAATCATAATATTACAAGTTTAAAGTCCTAATATTACGAGTTTAAAGTCGTATAATAATAAAGTCGTAATATTATGAGANCAAGTTTAAAGTCCTAATATTACGAGTTTAAAGTCGTATAATAATAAAGTCGTAATATTATGAGAATAAAATCATAATATTACAAGTTTAAAGTCATAATATTACGAGTTTAAAGTCATATAATAATAAAGTCATAATATTATGAGAATGAAATCATAATATTCTAGCCTTAACATGAAAAAGCATGCAGTTATCACTGCATTAAAAGGAGGAATGTTGAGCAACTTGTCAAGTTGTTTTTAGTATTGTTTAAAATAAAAAGTTAATCTTTTAGCACTTTTAGTATCAAATGATCAGTAGCAGGACTTGGAAATTGTGCAAACGACTATAATCTGAAGCTGTCTTGTAATTAATGAATGCACTGACAGATTTAGTCGTCATGTAGCTTATTTGGATGAAAGCATATTAATCTAACAGTAACCTCAGTCATCATGGACTACTTTATAAGCACAGACACACATGGCTGTACACAGCAGTAGAGGTATCAACCTGTTCCTTGTGGCTCACTATCCTGCAGGTTTGAAATGTTTCCCTGCTTCAACACACCTGACTGAAATGAGTGATGATGTGAATCAGGTGTGCTGAAGCAGGGAAACTGATAAACATGCATGGAGATCTCTGCCATAACTTCTGGAGCTGATGAACTCCATCTCGTGTGTTAAGAGTCAGTGTTGCTGTACAGAAACCCTGAGTTGAACCTGCTTTACAGAACAGGCCCCGCAGCTGTGAGCTGAGCAACAAGTGGGGAAGCTGCAGGCACCATGCAGGAGTCATCAGGTCAGTTACCTCTGTAGGGCTGCTGGGGAACAACTGACGGGGAGGGGAGAGATGTAAGTATGAAGGAGAGGCTGCACAGAGGGACAGCTGGGAGGAGAGGACATCCTTACTGACAGGAAGAACTTCCTAGTTTGACACGTTAGTGAGAAGATCTTTTAATGCCCTTGAAAACATTTCAGACTCCAAATGAAAGTTCAGGAGAATAAATAAAATCTTCCTTCCTCTGTTGGACTTTCAAAGCGTGTCTTAGTTTAGCTCTAAGTTCAGTTGTGTTTTGAAATAAACGTTTTCAGGATTTCTGTAAAAACTAGTAAAAGTCTTCAGTAAAACGAAGCATTCCTGCCACAGATCTTTGCTCTGTCAAACACATATAATAACTCTATATATCAAACAGCTGCAGGTTCTCAGAGCTGCAGAGTGATTGGAGCTGAGGACAACTGAAGAACAGTGTTTGAACCAGCTTCAGTAATCTGCTCACCTCTCTCATGGCAGTGGAGGATTTAGGGAAGCTCTGTCCTCCGGTCAGGGAATGGTACCTCCTCTCCAGGGCCGACAGTCGCTCCTTCTCCTGGGGAATAACACCATGAGTGATTTTACATCTGAAGTGGAGAATAAGAAGTTTTCTTTCGTACCTTTTGGAGCATTTGAAGTGTGACTGTTTTGTCTTTGGCGAGCCGCTCACACTCTTGAGATGCCTGCTGGCCCAGCTGGCTGGCCTGCTTCTCCAGAGTGGACACCTTCTCCTAAAAAACAACAACTTTGAAAATCGTATCCCAATAGTTCTTTGATGAGCTGAGGAGCTGAATGAATCAATCATAAACTAAAGTTTGTAGAATTAAAAATAAAACCCAGCTAAAACAGAACCACTGTGATGTTATTTCTAATGTCTGTGTTGGTGTGAACACAATGATTTTAACCATTAACCTGTAGCGAAACATGAAAGAGTAACTTTCTGCAGGAACCTCTGAACAAACACCTTGTCCCTTCCCCCAATCTCCTGGAGGACAGTGGTCTTCACATCCGGCCGGTCGTAAACAGAACAACAGAACAGGAACTGGGAACACCTCCTTTGTTAAAACTCTTTGAAGCGTCTTAAAACTGGCCGTTTATAACAAACAAATACAGTTTTACCAGACTTTAGGTCTCCAGAAGCTAGGCTTCAATCAACGTTCTAATCCTAAAGACTGTGGTACCTGCTGAGATGATCACCAGGCAGAACAACAAAGGCATTCCTGAGTCATAAGTTCATTTGTGACGTTACAGCCATCCTAGAGGCGATGTCCATAATTACATCATGAGTGAACACCTTGTCTGTTTATTTCTGATATAAAAAGATAAAAAGTATATATTTTCTATCTTGATCCAATCACTGTAATGTTTAAAATCTGGATTTAATCACTGTCACAAGAAAAGGTATTGAGTTATTTTGTCTAATCAGTCCAGATTTCATTTTGTTAAAGCAGAAACAGGAGCGTGTCATGTGTCCCCTCTCAGCCAATCAGGAGTTTAGAAAACACTAACAATAGTCAGTGTGCATTGCCAATGCAATGCACACTATTGTGATTCGTTCCCCATCCAAGTCATCCTCTATTTCGGCACGCTTCTCCTCCTACAAACTTTGTCCTAGAGCTGACATTAAAATTTGTATCTGTAAAGCTCCTGTGTCAAATGCAGGCTATGCTTTTTGGTGCCTGTACAACTTATAGTTTTTGAGATATTAATTTTTAAACTTTATTAATGGGTGTCAATAGAGCCTTGTATTGGTCCAATCCTGCCCCTGATTTATGTGCTCAGCTTGGTACTGCACCATACTTTAATAATATTTAAACTCAGTACTTCAGTGATTACTATACTAATTTCTTTGTATTTTTAATGTTTTACTTTAATATTGTCTTGTAAACATTTACATCTTATATAATATTGCTTTATTGTTGTAATATATTGCAGTTTTGTGTCAACGATCGTCCTTTGCAATGTTGCCTCTTTCTACACAAAGAAAAAAACACTGGAACTGTGTTTTCATACAGCTCCAATGGTCTTATGGTTAATGCCATGGACTTTCAAGTGGGAGATCAGGGTTCGAAACCCAACTACAGCAACTTTAACTAAAATTCTCTTCAAACTTCATATTGTCACACAGTTACCCTGATTACAAACACCTGCTGACTTGACACCCACAAGCTGGTATAGAAATCACATTTGAACTTGCTCAGCTCATTCTGCAAGTCCACTGCTGCAGGCAAAGCCATGCTACAAGGCAATACACACTTGTTTTTACATGGTAAAAACCCATGTCTAGTTGGATCAGAGATGATTAACTCAGAGGATGCAGAACTTAGTTGAAATTTAGGTTCTTCCTCATAAAGTCCATTTTCATTGGTATTAATTTAGGTGATGTTGTTCTTTTGTTTACTAGAATAGAAATTTAGCTAGTTTGTTAGTGGTTCATATGTGCTTGTGTTAGTTGACGTCACATATCAATCTGTGAAAATAATATGGTTTTAACTCGTGCTTCTTGCCTGTAATTTCCTCTGAACCTTATTTTAATATACGGATGAAACTTCAAATGTGATTGCTTTTTGTCTGCGTGTTTTATTGTGTTTTTATGCGTCGGAAAACTGTAAAGAATTAACGCCTTCATGTTTTAAGATTAGTCCTAAAATCCTAAATTTGGTTTTGCTAGCGTTTAGCCATTCAATCAAACGCAGTGGTGCCCCGCCTAAAATTTAACATATAACATAAAGAGTTATGATTTAATTTTAGCGTTCATTATTCCTACAAACCTGTGAAACTCAGAGCCAGCTGGTGCACCTACCAACAAATGGCTGGTGTTTGGGCTCTACAGTACTTTTCAGAGACAGCACTATGTTAAAGACAGTATTTTACTGAGCTGTCACTGTCGGAGACTAAGTTTGCAAACAGCTTTCATGAGGAAGTCTCCAAGAATCTCCTTTTAGCCCAGAGGGGTCATTTATTTCAGTCAGCAGACGAAGAAGAAAAGCAAAGCATTAAATCATCTTCAGTGCTAAGATCACAACTGTTCATTAAGAAGACTGCTGCAGGGGAAACAGACTTCGGTCTGGTAGTCCTGCACACTGGAAGCCTAAACTCAAGATGCAGGAGGTGATCAGGACCTGACAGGATCAATCTGGCCTTTTCACTGACCTGACCTTGTGTGGGTCAGGTTTACATGCAGAGACTAAGGTGGATGAGGATCACGGGGTGTCAGGAAGTGCAGCGGAGCGTCTAGCTTGTCTGGTGCAGAGCATGTTGAGTGTTTGATGCACGTCCAAAGGGTCAGACATTACAGAAGGAAAATCTGAACTTTTGCAGCTCGACGTGGAGCATCAACCAGAGAGACTCTGTGATGTAGCAGTGTATTTTCTGATGGGACGGTCTCCTGAATGATGTCCACTAACCTGAGACAGGTGGGCAGGAGTAGGGCTGCAACGATTAATCGATTAATCGATGACTAATCGATTATTAAAATAATCAATGACTAATTTAATAATGGATTAATCGTTTTTTTATTTTGTTTTTCTCTCCAAACTGCTTTGACACCTTCCACTGCCACATCTACCTTTCTGTCCTTGACACACATGCACAGTAGTGGTAACTGGGGTAGGCCGTGGACGTCACAAGACATTATACAGACAGGCTCTGGTATCATGGCTACCTGACAAC